TTGCTTTCTAGTTAACTGCTCTTGCAACCATTTTATTATACATTAATGTAAAGCATTATTTACTTCTCATATTTTATTCTTATAATTTATCATGTTTCTCGTTTGAAGTCTGACCAGGTTCGTTTGTGAAAACTGCGTGAATCAATTTGCATTCATATAAATATACGTACAAATTGTCTGTAATATCAATCTTCATTTAGCAATCATATGACCGACAATTTACGTTTTATAAACGCAAATGAATCCACACGCTACATGATGGATCGAGGGCCACAAAGTCGCGAATTTGATTCTCGAACGCGGTGTATTCTGACGCTTGGGATTTTGCGCGAGCACGTCGCTTCCCAGAATTCGGAACATTAATTGCGAGCATCGAATTCGTCTCAGCATTACAATCACGTGTCATGTAAAAATAAATTCAAAGCTGATCCTCACAGATTACTGTATATTATCATACTATTTCTTCTTAGAGCTAAGAATATCATTTTATTTATCCCCCTTAAGTCTCACTTACTTCATTAGCAAGATGCACACTACTTCGGTTGTAGCAAAAACTTTGTTTGGATAAAATAGTTGTATTTTTTTTGGTTTGTTTACAATCGTCGTTACCTTCGTATTTATATATTTATATATGTATATTATTTATATATATATATATATATTTTTATAAGTATTTATCGCGTTATCTATTATGGTATTTATTAGGGTAGGTTGTGTTTCTTGATATTCGCTATTAGTATTGTTAGATTTTAAAAAGCTTAGATCGTAGTGATATTATCAATTGGTGCTTGCATAGAAGCATCTTTTCAGTTGTGTCTCTTAATGTGTAGATGTATGCATGTGTATGTCGCTCAAGGAATGTCGCTCGCAATGGTATGTGAGAATGTATATACGTATACATATATAATATATATGTATATATGTATGTGTATATTGTATGTACATGTGAGAAAGAGAATCGCGCGATGCGCGCACATAGTGCATGTGTGTATGTGTGTGTGTATCTATACGTATTCATGTTAGCGATCTGGCACCACTTTTTATCTCAATTTCTACCTTCGGGCGTCCGCTCCGCGTCGTATCGCTCTGCGATTTCTTTCAAGTGGACTTTGTTGAGTTTGTCGCTCGAGGGTAATCTCATTCCTCTCTTTCTCCATCTCTCATTCCCTGAAATTTGCACGTCCCACGAGAGCGAAGAACGCGTGCGAATAATTCCACGGGAGAATCGAACCATCCGCGATCTACACAGCTCGTGCGAGACATTCGCGTAGTAAAGAGCATCCGATAGAATCGGATATCCTCGCCGTATCGAAAATCGATGCGCGAAAGAGAACGTACCTCGGATCCCGTTGCCATGAGACGCGGCAAAGATTTTCCTTACGATCCATCACTCAATTTCTCTTGACGATGTAACCGTAAAATAAACGCGATCCACAGTTGAAAGAAAACGTGGCAAGTTCGCTGTTTGAGGGCGAGTCTGCGCTACTCTCGCGTGATTACGGTCTCGATGGGGAATCACCCGGAGGGATGGAAACCGTCAGACTCAATCTACGCTGCCGGATCGACGTACCTATCCGCGGACAAGGAGAATCGTAGAGGAGCGTCTAATCCGTTCCGATCCATTCATCTCGTAATTGTATTTGGCGCACTTGCATTACACAGAACCCGTGCACGTATGTTAGAGAGCTCCGACGATCATCTGTGAGAAGGGAAATGTCCATTCGCGGAGTGGATGATCCCATCATGTAACGCATGCATCCTGTAATGGATACATCCTGCGAGTGTGCAAAGATAGTTAGTGCACGAATCGGCACGACCGCGGTTTCTAATTATGTTTACAAACGCGCTTGTACACGGAGGATTTACATCTCCGTATGTGTACGTATGCGGCTTCCACAGGAAACGGCGATTTTCCGTTGATTAAATTGCCAAGTCGGATGTTAGATATATGACGAAAAATTTTTTTCTAATAAAATATGAAATTTTACGGTTTTCTTTTGTGGAACAAAATAAAATAATTTTATTATCCGATTATGCGGTATTATATATTTTTTTCAAAATTTTATCGGAAGTGTTTGAGAGAAATTTATGAATGATTAATAAGAACGTGGTTGTTCGCTTTTACTTTGCATCCGTGCACGAGTGTAGTGTACGACGCGGCAGAGATTTATCTACAACCTTGCTGATAATATCACGATGAACTTTCGCACATCCTATAAATATCCGCGAGTCTCCTGTCGTTGAGACAACTACGTCCGACGTCGTTAATAGCTTCCCCCTTTTTTCCTTATATATGTATATTATATAAATTTAACCTTCTAAAAATGACAAGAATATATGCGTATGTTTACGTTATCGCGTAGTTACCGTATAAGTTATGTATATGTACCATAAATAATCATTATCGTTATATTATTCCTTTATCTTTGTCATTTTAGAGTTATTTGGTTTATCATTATATATATATATATATATGTATATTAATATTATATATCGTCACATTCGCGCGTCGGTAACCAGCATGTCCTTTTTTTCAAGCGCTTCTCTCTTCGTCGTATAATTAGCCTCGTACGCACACACGTGTACACGCGCGATTACACACGCGCACGTGCGCAAGCCACGTACACTGGGTGTTCGTTAATTGCGCACGTGTGCCGCGTGAACATGCATACCGCGTGCGTCGCACATCCGGACGAGCAACAAATTCGCGGAGCGGATTGTAAAACGAGAAAATTTTTGCTCGTCCAAAAACGTAGGTACAATATGTATATATATCTATGTGTATATATATATATATATGTGTGTTTGTGTATAATGCAATATATAAACGTAAAGTAGCCGTGGCAGCGCGACGCGTCAAGCAATTTCGCGTCTCACTAAACCCGCCCTCTTCCCGTTCCCCTCCGTATGTGTGTCTCCGCGTAATAATTTATTAGACGTTGATTTAGCTAAAACTAGAATAATTTACTAAGTTTCTAGTTCCTTTCAATCTCGATACGTATATACGCACGTACACGCGTTACGTACGTGTGTGTGTATGTGCGTACGCATATATATATTATATATATATATTTCATATTTATAAT